CCGGGGCTCCTGGTGATATTATTTAAATAAATACTTTTTCTTCATTGCCTCTGAAGATATATACTCTGTGATTCATTGCCCAAAAGATGAAAAAGACCAACCAATTATACAATTTTTTTTTAACCATAAGAAACGTGTTTTACTCTGAAAAACAATTTGAGATCTTGGCCAACTCCATCCTCCTTCTCTTCTACATCTCCACATTCCTCCTCCAGCTCAGGCTCAAGCCCACTTACCTGATCATAGGTCTCTTAGCCCTAATCCACATAGGGATGATGATAATTTTAGGGTACATAGCTACAAGTGTCTTTGTATCAGGATTTGGGGGATGACATCAAGTATCAATCAGTTATCTACTTTTACAGGTTTCTGAGGGCCTTCTCCATTTGTGCCACCTGCCTGCTGAGCGTCCTCCAGGCCATCACCCTCAGCCCCAGAAGCTCCTGCTTGGCCAAGTTCAAACATAAATCCCCACAGCAGACCCTGTGTGTCCTTGTTTTCCTGTGGGCCTTCTACATGTCCTTGAGTGCTCATTTCTCATTGTCTTCTACTGTCATTCCCAATGTGACCTCACATGGCCATGTGTTTATTACTCAATCCTGAACAATTTTACCCATGAGTTACTTCCTCAGGCATTTATTTTCTGTATTAGGTGTATTCCAGGATGTCTTTCTTATAGGACCCATGGCCCTCTCAAGTGTGTACATGGTGGCTCTCTTGTGTAGACACCAGAGGCACTTCCAGCACCTTCAAAGCACCAGCCTTTCTCCAAAAGCATCCCCTGTACAGAGGGCCACCTGGACCATCCTGTTACTCATGAGTTTCTTTGTGCTCATGTACTGTTTGGAGAGCAACTTCTCCTCCTCAGGATCTATATGGGAAAGATGACCATGGTTGCTTTAATGTCCAGATGATGGTGGCCAATGGCTATGCCACAGCCTGTCTTTTGCTGTTAATCTGCACTGAAAAATGAATTTTTAACTTCTTAAAATCATTTTGGTTAAGATAGCAAAAATTTAAGTACTGATGATACATAAGTTCTCCTAATGTGCCAATACACTGGCTTCTAAATAATAAATCCTGTCATACAATAGATGCTCTCTGGATTATGTGAATATGGAGATATGCATTTTTTGTTAAATCTCTTAGACATGTAAATAACAAATGTTTCACAGAAATTTCAATGCTTTACCTCTTTGAGATAACACAAGTGTCCCACATATCTGCCTGGTGTCAGCAAAAGATTCTTATGAGGAAGATGTGCGTTAGCCACTATAAACATATGGACAGTATTTATTATGTTTTAGTAAGTGCTTTAAATGAGCTGTATTTTTCCCAACTAAATATGTCAATATTTACTGCCATGAATTACCACCGGAACCACCAATTGTTCTTTTAATGATCTGCTAAAAAGAATGGAATGTAGGGATTTAAGATATCATATATAAACCAGTTCTCATAATAGCATTATTATCAATAACCCATGATGGAAGCAACTCAGTGTCCAAAAGCATAGGAAAGTATAAGCAAAACATGGCCTTAGCATATTATGGGATATTATTCATCCTGAACAAGAACATCAAAAATTGCTTGAGACCATAATTCACAAACCTTTAATGTAGAAGGTAGAACTGAGCTTAGAAACACATACAGACAGAAAATAGATTCGCAATTACCAGGACCTGAGGAAAGGTGTCATTGAGGATTTCTTATTTGACAGCAGGGAAGGGACAGATGGAAAGATTTCAGTGAAAGACACCAAGAACAGAATAGAGGAATCAGTTTGAGTACTTCTACTGTGCAGTAGAGTTTGTTAAAATAACCTTAAGTCTGTTTCAAAATAAAATTCACAATATTTAAAGACAATTAACAGCTGAAGAGGTGAAAACATTTATTACTATGATTTGATTATTACAACTTATGTACATGTACTGAATTACCATAATGTCCCACATCAAAATGCATAAATATATATCTTTAAAAAGAGTTTTTGGTAACTTTACTACAGCTATAAAAAACTCACTGAAATATAAATAATTTTATATTTCATGATTATAAAGATGCCAGAATATGATTTGTATAATTTTCTAACAGTTTTAATGCATCTTCTAGGGGAAAAGCATTTTTTATCCTTAATAAAGTTACTATCTGATCCAGCAATCACACTTACAGATTTTACCCACATTACTTCTAAACTTATGCCCACAGAAATGGTGTATGTTGCTGATGACTTGGTCTTTGTCCCTAATGACAATTGAATTAAGAGGACATGGTTTTGAGGAAAAGGAAAAGCAGGTATATTGCCTTTGTAAAAAAAAAAAAAAAAAAAAAAAAAAAAAAAGATGTACAGTGTACTCCAGTTCCAGAGGCTGTAATTCTGCTCATTACAGGGAACAAGTTTTTGTTTTTGTTATTTTATTTTGTCTTGTTTTATTTTGCTTTGTTGTTTTTTATGCTGGTGATTGCACCCAGGGGCTCTCACCACTGAGCCCCATCCCAAACCAATTTTGTATTTTTATTTAGAGACAAAGTCTCACTGAAATGCACAACACCTTGCTTTTTCTGAGTCTGGATTTGAACTCAACATACTCATGCCTCAGTCTCCAAAACTCTAGGATTATAGGCATGAGCCACAGTACCTGGTAGAACAAATTTGTTGTTGTTATTGTTGTTTGTTTGTTTTTGTAGAAGCTATTCAAACACTGCCTGCCAGATATTCCCTGTAGGAGAACTGCAATCCCCTTGGTAATTTGGGAGACAGCCATTCCTGAAGGCTGAGTGACTTGGTTCCTGTGGTGGGTATGTGCTCAAGGCTGTTTGGGTCTGGGAGGGGAAAAGTAAACTTTTTTCCTAGCCCCCCAAAATAAGGAGGGGGAAAGGGAGATGAGGAAAAGAAAACATGTCCATTTAAAAAAAGGCTTAGTGGCAGATCAGCAAGAGCTCTATTCAAGCCTGAGGCAGACCACTACTATATATGTAACTATTGACAGCAGCTCTATTAACTAACACCATAAATTAGAAAGAATACAGACATTCTTTTGCAAATTAGTGGAGAAGCAAATGTATTTTCCAAGAAATATTTATTCAACAGAAAAGAGTAGCCTATTGATCAGCTCAACAATAAAAATGAAACTTAAATGCAGTTTACTGAGTAAAATAAGCCAGGATGCAAAGGGTACTTCTTTTATGCCATTTATATGACCCTCCTGAGAAGGAGACAATATAGAATAGACTTGCGGCTACTGATTTTCAGGGTTGGACAAAAGTGTAGCCCTTTAATAAAAAGTGAATGTGGCCTGGCATCCTGTGCCTGCAGCCAGCTTCTCAGGAGGCTGAGGCAGGACTGCATAATTC